CCTTCACCCGGCGGCCGCTGTGTGGTGGGACCGCTACGAAAGGGGTTGAGGAGGGGGGGGGGGAGGGCGTGCCGCCGCTGCGGGGGCGACACTCGCAGAGACCGCACCGTTACTTTTGCGTTTCTCCCCGAAGTGGAATAAATCTTGTAGAAGAGACGTTTTTTTGTTTGTTTGTTTTTGTCTTTGCGTGTGTTTTGTGTTGTTTTGCGTGCGCTTTTTTTTACTCCTTTTTTTTTGTTTGTTTGTTTGTTTTCTCTGCCTCATGCCTCCTTTCATTCTTTCTCTCTCTGTGTGTGTGGCTGCAGGCCTGTTGCCGGCTTTTCTTCCCCCCATTTTGTGTGGCTCGGCGCCGTGCGCTTTTTTTCCCACTTTGCCTTCCTTTCCTCTTTCTTGTTGTTGTTCTCTTTTGTGTGCGTGTGCATGCATGCATGTGTGCTCTGGCCGCAGAGCGAAGGGAAGAAGAGAAGAAAAGGCAAGTCCCCACAAAGTGTAGGCCCACAACAATTGGCTGCCGTGTACACTGCGCGCACACACACACGCATTATAACATATCTAATAAATAAATATAAATATATACATAATACATATAGACAGTACAGTTTCAGCGCAAAGGAACTTTTTTAGTTTTCTTTTCGTTTGTTTTTTTGTTTGTTTGTTTGTTTTCTTTTGCTTGCTTGCTTTTTTTTTTTTTCTTTTTTCTGTCTTCTCTTCTTGTTCCTTTTCTTTGCGATCTTCTTTTTTTTTTCGTTGTGTTTTTGTCGTCGTTGTTGTTGAGCATACATTCATACACACACGCATACGCGTAAGAGATTTCTTGTTGGGTGACTGCGGCAACAGGACCAACGCAGCCGGGATGCCTATCGAACAGGTAATTCTTACAATCCACGCCATCTATGACCTACCGCGGGAGATGCAGCAACTGGATCCGCGGCGGGAGCAGCTTGAGCTTTTTGTGCAGCCTGTAGTCAACTACAACTACCGGGGGCGACGCGTGAAATTACTGCCGTTGGGCGAGAGCGTGATGCCATTTTCCTCCTCCTCCATTTTGTTCAAACGCGAGCGTTTTATTTTGGATTTGGGTAACGTCACGACGCCCTACGCAAGCCCAAAATGTACGCTGCCGTCGATCTCGCCGCGTACCTCACCGTGGCGACGGTGGTACCCAACGGCAGGGGGAGAGACAAACGAAGAGGACGACAGCGACAACGAAACGAGCAACAATGACACAAAAAGAAATATGATCCATGGAAATCAAGTTTTGCTGCAGTACCCTTGTACGCTTGGCCTCTCAACAACTCTTGATGTCATGGTTGGCGTTCGTCAGCATCGCATAGGATCCTTCGTGCTGCGATGTATCACGGTCGGTCAAAGTGCAGACACACACTCCGATGGCGCCGGGTTTTTCTCAGTGGCAATCGAGGAGGTCCGAAAGAAGAAGACTGTCACACGCGTTGTTGGTCTCAGTGTAGGCGGCGTCATACTCTCCGTCTCAGTGAATCCAAATGACGACAAGGAATCTGTACTTGGGCGCCTCATCGGGGACAAGAATCGTAACCTCGCCAGTTGTGGCAATAATCAAGCTCTGGAGAAGCTGGATGTGGCTGCCATGTTGCTTGAAGGGTTTTCAGAAGTGGAGATTTATCAACACATGCGTCTGATTGTGGATCCCGATTATTATCTTCGACGTTTAGAGAACCTTATTGCGTTGTACCCAGCACAAGGGAGTGAGGAGTGGCGACAGAGTGGCGTATTGCTGCAGAAGTACGCATCGAGGGAGGAGGAACTTATGCGCAGGGCCAATTTGGAGATTGGACCCGAGTGCTCTAGCGTCTCTGCACGGCACCGCTTATTGGCCTACCGCTACAAGTATCATCTTAGCGACCAAAGCGTACGGGAGTGCCTTCAGTCCGTTCTGGGGGAAGAAATCCATGAAACGTTGGTTACGGAGCCGGAGGTTGTGTTTGAGCTACT